ATAACTTTTGTTTTATTATATAAAAGATATGATTGAGATACTGGAACGTAGAAACAGTTGAAGTGTTAGTGGGACATTTTATCTAAAATGTTTTTTCTGAAATAAAAATATATATTTTTAAGAATTAAATGACACATGTCACTCATGCAATTATCTAATTAATTCTATTTTATTGTATAAAATATATGGTTGAGATAGTGGGACATAAAAACGATTGAAGTAATAGTGAAAACAATTTTATCTAAAGATGTTCTTTCTGGAATAAATATAGAAAAATATCTTTAAAAAAAAATCAATAACAATTGTCAAATTACTTCAGAGTATGTTGTAGGAAAAAACTTTCTTTTGATGTTGATTCTTTTCTTCTATTGTCATCATTTTAATTTGTAAATATTTGACTTTCTATTTTATTTGAAACATTTCTTATTTTAAGATTTCCTTCCATAAAAATAGGAAATGAACAAAACCAATTGATTATTTTTTCTTGTGACTTATGCTTTATTATATAAAGGATTTACATTGAGCCTTAAAAGTAGGGTTTTGTGTGTGCTGCTTATCTCTGAACAAGAGGTGAGTGTCTAAGGCACAAAATGACGAACGAGCCACCGTCTCTGACTCCGTCACTTCCCGACGACCTCATCCTTCACATCTTAGCGCGTGTACCAAGATGCTACTATCCAACTCTCTCCCTAGTCTCTAAGCACTTCCGGTCACTCGTTGTGTCCCCCGAGTTATACTCGAGAAGATCTTTGTTGAGTTGCAACGAAAACTGTTTGTACGTTTTAGTCAACAGCGAGATCTCTAGTGACCGTTTGTATATTCTTCACCAGAAAGCGTTGCTCCATATCTCTTCACTTTCGGATATACCTATCTGTGAAAGCTTTGTGTCCGTGGGTTCGAGGATATATCTGTTTGGTGAGTGCAGTGACGACGTCTCATCGATTGCGTGTAGCATTGATTGTAGATCTCACACGTTGCAACGCCTCCCCAACATCCCTATACCCTTGGAGTTAACAGTTGCTGGCGTTATGGACGGTAAAATTTACGTTGTTGGACAGTGCAGTGCGAAGTCAACGGTGATGGTGGTTTTCGATACGAAAACACATATGTGGGAGGAGGGGCCTGGATTAAACAATCCAGACATTTCTTCAGAGGCTTGGGATATTGATTGCACGATGGTGGTGATGGCTGAAAAGATTTACATTAGGTGTGAACATGATAGCTTTGTGTACGTGCCAAAGGAAGGGAAATGGGAAAGAGATGAGATGCTGGATTCTAAGGACTGGGATTGTGGTAATCAATGTGTTGTTGATGACGTGTTGTACTACTACGATGAGGATGAGGGTTGTTTGAGAGTGTATGATCCTAAGCAGAAGTGCTGGGGAGTGGTGAAAGGTTTGGAAGGGTTGTTGGCTGAGATGGGACGTCCGTATTGGTTAAAAACTGCGTGTTTCGGTGGGAAACTGGCTTTGTATTTTGGTAAAACAGAAGAAGAACCGAGTAAGATGTGGTGCGCTGAGATTTTGCTGGAAAAACGTCAAGGAGGAGAGATTTGGGGTAAAGTTGAGTGGTGCCATCAGGTTATAGAGGCTGCTGAGCCTTTTTTTTTTAGAGTGTCTGTATCTGTTATGCTTTAAAATGCATGAACTCTCTTTCTTTCGTTTTTTTTTTGCTAAGATGAACTCTCTTTTGTTTTTTGTTTTTTTAATTAAGATGGATTCTCTTTAATAAATTGTGTTTTTTTTTAAATTTAATTGTTATGTTCTATTTCACCTGGATGTCTAGATGAGTTTTCTTATCATTCACAAATTATTTCTTGTTCTTCATTCATTATCTAGGAAAATATATTTAGAAAATTTGATTTTTTCTCTCTAATAGGATCAGTGTAATGAGGAAACATCGTTATGTGTTGATTTATGTGATCCAAAAAAGGTCTACTGCTCAAGGAAAGCTAGTACAAGGCCAGTCTCTAGAAGTTTTGTTTAGGATACGTACGTGTTCATTATTGTGGCTTTGGTTTGGATTTTTAGTTAGCGTAGAGATAAGATAAAGCCGTTACTACCTTCTCATACTCCAAGAGGTGTGGGACTGCGGATGCGTAGCCAAAGGACTTGATATAAGCGAAACCTGCCCGAATCACTTCTTTTGGTTCCATGAATATAATTAATCTCTATGTTCAGTGAAGAATATGAGAATTATAGTAAGCCTTTTGTATAAGTTGTTCCTTCGAGGAAAAGGTTTGTTGGATGAATCCATTCAATTGGAAGCATTTCATAACAAGTAACTTTTACTTCTCATTGTGCTCTCTCATTAACACAAAGCTTTTCACTTGCAACCAATGATTCTTTTGACTTGGTTCTTGATTAATGTGATCTTGATAGTGTCGGTACGAAGCTGGGAATCAATTCTTAGCAGTGGTGTGTACGTTCTTAAAAACTTGAAGTGTACTTAGCAGCCAAGCATTTTAAACTAGATAGGTGCAATTGACCAGATTCTTTCCAAAACAATAATTAATTTAATAATAAGTGGTGATGCAAGAAACAAACAAGCTACTGACTAATAATATCTTCCTTTTCTTTTGCCTCATGAGTCATGAAGGTAACCTTGATTATTGGATCTGCACCAAACTTGGAACATAAGAGAACACATCTTGTTGGACCTTTAGTTTATTTGATCTGCACCAAACTTGGAACATAAGAGAACACAATATCTTTCCTATCCGTTTTTTCTTGTTAGTATCATCCATCTTCTCCAAACCACATAACCTTTGTACTTGGAGAACATAAGCTACATTCTTCTCCTTGTCAATCAAACCACTGCGAACTTTAAACCAACGGTCGAAACCAAGGAAAGGTTTCATATCAACTTTATAGAAATTGGTCCACGGCACTGCATCAGGCTCAATCATAGTTGTAATCCGTGTCACCAGTTCATATAGGTTCCTTTGAAATAGCACCGCGAGCTGCTCTCCTCTAACACAAGAACATGGAATCTCATCATTGTCAGTGTCAAATGGTAATCCATACACGGTCCAAGTTTCTCTCTGGTAAAATCGTAACCTAATAATTTCCCATCAACAACAAAGTAACTATTTCCCTTCAAGGAAACACCTCTCTTCCGTTTCCGTTTATGATAGATAATACCAAGAACCCTCCATGAACTCGACTTAAAATCATATTCCATGCTTTAAATTATTGTCAGAAAGCACCACGACTTTATGGTTCTTGTTGTTGTCGTATCCAATATAGCATACTGTCTCTTTTGAATTTAACACTGTTATTATTCTTATTTTTTCTTTGGCCTATGAAATAACCTAAGAATAACACACATGACACATTGGTTTAGACAAACCCGGTTCAAAACCCTATTTGTTTGCGACTCTTAAAACGCAGCAGCCAAAACCCTAAGCCTTTTTTTTCTTGATTAAATATAGCAGATTCTAAAACCCTAAGCCTTTAAAACCAAAGAACTTAATGCAGTATTATACATTAATACATATATACAGTATCTTAATCTCTGATATCTTTATCACTGTGTGTGTCTGTGTGAGCTCATCATTCTTCCATAATGTATTTCTTTAGAATTTTTGATTAACAACTTAAGGAGTACTTCATCATCCTGATTTTTCAGATCAAAAGGTAATTTACATCAGTGCAACACTGATTGAAGGAGTTCATCCTCCTGATTCTTCCTTTTTTATAAGATCTTTGATCTAAAATTCTCCAGAAGAGAATCCATTTAACAAAACCAGAAAAAGCCAAAGCTCATATACAACGAAACTGCCGCGTGCAGAAGGTGAGCCTCAAAATCATTAATTCCTCCTTGGTTTAGCAGGAAGAAACACCATTAATTCCCAAAATCTTTCTTGACTAATCAAATGTTTTTTGGTCACGATCCCTGGAGCATATTACTTTGTCTTCAGCTTTTCATTTCGTACACCAAATCACATGTAGATATCTACTTTTATTTTCTACATTTTACTAAACTTAATAAAATACATTGTTGTGAGTATTTTAGCATCAGTAGCCACAACTAAAAATTATTTTGAAATTAAAATTAAAATAACTATTTGTGATCTGCAGATCACAAAAAAGATCAAACGGTCTGATTTTGTTAGCAACTGATACAAATATGAATTAAAACCTACAGGAAACATAAGAAAAGCTATATTTGTAGCTTTTTGAATTTGCATTTTTATAAGCTACTGATGATAATTTTTAAGTTATTTTTATATTATTAGTAGAGTTTTAAATTGGTTTAGGAAATTATACATGTTAGACCGACACCGGTTAAGCTAGATATTTTTATGACTAGAACTAACTCGTATAAGTTGTGAAGACCATGTACTTGCTACATTGAGTTACATGATCAGTAAATTCAGAAATGAACCAAACCCCTGTTTCATTATTGGAGCAAGCTTATTGCAATGTGCCTTCGAGTGCTATGAGTATTAAAAGACTTATAAGACCTACCTTTTCTGTTCATCTTTATTATGATCTATAAAATTTGTTTTCATGGAAAAAAGAACGTTGTAAGTGCGCGTGGACTTAAACTATTAGAGAATCTTCTAAGATTTACTTCAGCTAGATAATCTTCTTATCAGATTTACAATACGAAGATAAATACATATTTAAAAAGAAAAAGGAAATAGATGTAGCTTCTAACATATATCAGATTGTCTCCAGTAATCAATAAAAAAATTTTAAAAAAGGAAATTGTAATTTCTTTTTGTTAGAGATAAATAAAACGAACCAATAAAAAATACGAAGATAGATAAATACGGATTTAATAAGAAAAAAGAAAAGAGAGAACTTATAACATTATCAGATTATCTTATAACATTGTCCGCATAGGAAAAGGTCAGTGAAACGCAATATAAGCAGAGTCCCTTTCACAGCCTCAATCCTCATTACTATCTTCCTATTTGTTGTTTATATATTTCTCCAGAGAGATTTTGATTCATCGCCAAGAAAATAAACTCTGCAGCTTTTTCGAGGAAGATGGCGACCCATGATGATGATGATGCTAACAAACGAGGCGAGGAGGGAGAGAAGAGATGTTTTGATCTTTTCGCGACGTTGCTTCACGCTTTTGGTAACGACGAAATAAGAGCGAGACGTGGAAAAGAAGAGCAAGAGAGAAACATGCTCATGATCCATACTATTATTACTGCAGCCACCAACACTTTCTTGTTAGGTCACAAACGAAATATCGATGATGATGAGTTCAAGAATCAAGAAAACACTTCTTCTTCTTCTTCTTCGAGGAGTTTGGTCGAGTCCAAGAGGCGTCGTGTGGTGGTATCCGACAACAAACCCATCAGAGCAGAACCTATTAGAGAAATCAAACCTCCGGTTAAGGAAATAAACCGGACGGTTAAAAGAAAGGAACCGGTTAGAAGAGAACCGGTGGTGACTCCTGGATGGGTAATTGACCTAATGAGGAAAAAAAATGGTGAGGATGCGAAGATGATATTTGAGAAAGTGATGACAAAGACTGATCTCACACCAAACCAAGGACGTCTGTTGATGCCCTTTAACCAAATGTCTGAGATGGACTTTATGACCGAGGCAGAGTTGAAGATCCTAGAGGAACACCACAAAGACAAAGGAGATGCTAACAAAAAAAGAGTTAATGATTACACCACCGAAAAAAAGAAAGGAGTTGATGTCATCTTGTTGAATCGTAATGGTAACAAGAAGTGGAATCTTAACATGAGGATATGGGAGATGAGGAGCAGTTTCAACTACGCCTTGTGTACTGGTTGGAACCAGGTCGTCCGAGATAACAAGCTAAAGGTAAACCAGACTATTACCCTCTGGTCCTTTCACTCCCATGATGGCAAGCTCTATTTTGCTTTCGATCCTCCCACTCCAGTTACACATTCAGCTTCATCTTCTGGAGATCCGTTTGCGTGTGAAGAGGCAAACAGGAGAATTATGCTATATTGGAGTCCAAAGAGAAGCAGAGCTACTGGAGTTTGGATTCTAGATCCAAGAAGCAACCTACTCGAGGGTTCGGACCTAAACAGAACAGTACCACCTCCAGAGGACACTGAGATGGATTCTGATCTCGAGGATGCACATATTAGGAGGCACTCGACGATGGTGGAGCACTCCAGCAACCCTGGCTCCGGTTGTAATCAGAGATTCATGTGAAAACAGCTTTGCTCTATGTGACTTAATCTTTCTTTATTCTAAACCCTTGTCCTAGCTCTCTATCTCTCTTGCAGTGTCACGCAAGTTTTTTTTTATTTTTCTTTTAGGCATTCAAAAGGATTTTGTTTAGTTTGTTGATTTTTTGGTAGACTACTCCCAACTGTTGTAGCTTCTTTAATCGTATGAATAGACAATGTTTTTTTTTTTTGGCAATTTGTATTTCAATCTGATTTGACAATGTCGTTGAGTAAATACTTTAACCAGATAAAACGAGGATAATAATTTAATGCAGCAAAGACACAACTCCTAATGTACTTCAGCATCATCCCATCTTTCTATTACTGTTGAGAAACTGATCTTCTCCTCTGTGTTATCATGAACTTGCTGTGTTCAGGTCCTCTTTATTATCTTTGGGTTTTTGGGTAAGATTATTAAAGTTTGAGCTAGTGTCCGATACGTATATATATATATATATAGTATATGTACATATATATGTATATCAATAAACAAACGAGTCTTCTTGTATCAGATTTAATATAACAGACAACTTACACTCACTTATTGAGCTTTTTCTTTATTATCTCCCAAACAACTTCCATTTTCATAACACACGTAAAACTATGATCTGATCTTCCCGGTGTCCTAGCAACTTTCATAAGCAGAAAAAAAAAACATAAAATGATCGATTGATTATAAATCTCCAACATCATTTTCTTTTCGTCACATAAGCAATGAATGATTAACGAAGTTGACGCTTATGTCCCCTGATATACACAAATCCAGCCATTTCTTTCACTTGCAATGAGTAGTTACCTGAATTAGTTATTGCCTTATTGGGATGTACGTGTTGACGTTATGCTCAGACTAGAATGTTACTATTATTGCAAACGTGTATGAAAACTTTTCAAAAACAAACGATATTTTCTCAATAATTGTATTTCGAGATTATAAGAAATTACATATTCGAACTCTTATATACTGGATAGACATATAGATATACCACGGTAACTTATATTCATTTTATTATTTACCCTTATATATTCAAGTAAATTCTAATCATAGAGCAGACTAATCATACTAAATGAAAACACATAAGTGAAAACTGCAAACAGAATTATCTCTATAAAGATAAACAATCAGCACGTACCGTGTTAGTTCTGGATTCAAGTTTTGTTTCTTGCGTGGATCTCCAAAATCCTTTTCTGAATAATTATAATTTTCACTAAACCAACACTATCACTTGTTCATTATTTTTTAATAATTTACTTTTGTACTTAAAAATAATTGTTTTGGAATATATTTGTTGATAATCATGATTGTCATGTGGGCTGTATAATGATGGGTCTCTATTTTTCTAGCCTGTAAAGTTTAGTCAAAACTGATAGCTAGCATAGCAAATGTTTAAACTCTAGTTAGAAAAATTTTCAGACTGATAATACTACCAACCTTTGTTTTGATGCAGGTTCCTCTAAACGTTCAAATAATGAAGAAACTAGGTGATTTTCCCGTGCTCATGCACGGATATGAATATTTATAAAATAAATATACAATAATAACTGATTGATATTTACTTTAATTTTTAAATTAATTTATAGTTTGTATGTCTAATTTATATTATAATATTATATTACTTTAATTATACATATAATTTTAGATATGTTATATTTAGTCTGTTTTATTGTTTTTACATTCGATTTAGTTATCATTTAGATATATTGGGTTCTATCTATTTCTCTGAATTCAACTATTATCTTTTATATTTTAAAATATTAAATTTTTGATTAATTGTCTTATTTGCATTTATGTTGGTTGTTATCTTAGAAATATAAGTATATTTAGTAAGATTATATATAACTTAAGATTTTTTCGTGCTTAGAAGGAAAAAAACTAAAAACTAAAATTTCTGATTCTAAATTACATACATAAGTAACTAATGAATTTCTAGAAGATTTTTGAACACATATCAATATTTACAATAGTTAACATATTTTATAAATTCTAAATAAATTTATGCTTTAGATTGTTTGGATGGTAAGCTGAAATTTATTTTAAATAATTTTAAAAATAAGGATTCTGATTTGCTTAAGTATTTTACTATGGTTATATTAATTTTCACAAACATAAAAACAAAAAATTAAAAATCAAAAGATTATTAAGACATCAGATAATTTTAACTATTAAAATATAATACATCTACCTCGTTAAATTATATAGTGTTATGGTATTTTAAAATAATTGTAGTTATTTTCTGTTTTTATGTTTGTGAAACTTAATATAACCATAATCAAAATACTTAAGTAAATCAGAACCCTTATTCTTAGAACATATAATTTTAACTATTAAAATATAATATATCTACCTCGTTAAGTTATATAATGTTATGATATTTTAAAATAATTGTAGTTACTTGATCAAAAGATGTTTATCATTAAATTTATTTTTAGTTGTATTTTTAGTATCTCTTAAAATGGTCAGTAAAAAGTGATTGTTTTTTAGAAATTATACTATATAAGTAAAATCGAATTTATATTTTTACTGTAATTGTAAGATATTATAGTCAAATAAATATACTAAAAAAATAATTTCAATAATACTAATTATAAAAAATGCCAGTTAAACATATATCAGTTTATGTTAGTTGATTATTTTATGTAATCATATTTATTTCGAAAATATATATATTTTATTGTTCAAAATTATTTTTTTAAGGAAAAAATATTGCTTTTTCTAATAGCAATATTTTTTGTGTGAAATTTTTTTTAATGAAATCTCATTATATACAGATATTTTTTTTTTATCTAAGAAGATATAGATATAAAGTATTTTATTACTTCAAAGGTATATTTTATATTATTTAAAATATATTTAAATTAATTATTACTATTTTGTGAACTTTCTTTTTTTTTTATTAAACCATATTACATATTCTTATATTTTCGTGTTTAAATAGTTTTGTAAATTTTATAAATGTTTCCTTTTTATTTTATATTGTTATTTGGAAATTTTTAAAAAAGAATAATATTTAATTGTATTTTTAATTCATTAGGGGTATCATAGTAATCAACCAGCGTGAGAGTTAACGTGAGAGCGACACCTAAGAAAGTGACTTCTCAAATAATATTATAGAGATTCATGTATATACTTGAATCATTTACTTTCACAATCGTACCAACTGGAAGAGAAAATAAACTAAATACACATTAGAATTTATATTTAAACTATTTAGTAAAATCAGTAACTAAAAACTATTTTTTTTTGGTAATAAAAAACATATTATTTACCAATCAGAACAAAAAGGGAAATGGGTTTGGTTCATGTTTACTCATTGTTTTGTCCCATACGCCAACCAAATCTTTTAATCGATCGGATTTCAATATTTATATGTTCTCTCTCAAATTTTTAATAACATTCTCCTCCTCTAAAGATTAAACACAATAACATTTTATAAACGTTATATTAAAAATAGATATTTTACAATGTATATAAACTCAAGGGAGGATAAATAAAGCTGCATTTTTGTAATTGTACGCCATTAGAGAGACAAACATGTAACCTAGCAAATTGGGTTACTATATATATTTTGCACACACACAAAATGTATTGTAAATGTATATAATAAAATGAGTTAATTCGTTCAATATACAAAAATAAGTTGAATATCTATTACAATAAAACATAGGGCTGAACAGTGAAAAAGTATAGGCAAAAAGATGACTTTAACCCTATAGCAAGTTGGCGTTAGTGTTTAGGTTTAGATGTATGTCAGTAAAAGATATTTAGAAAGATTTTCCCTAAGATTTTAGTACATAACAATATTGGAGACGAAACAAAATAAGTCATTTCTCTCTCTCTTGACAAATAAAACCCATCTCTTTCAACTCCTCATATTCTCATTCTAAGCGGCGGTTCTGTTTCTTCCGATGAACGCGCGTGGTGACTATGTTAATGTCACCGCCGATTTGGTTCCCTTTATTTCTTCTTCGCTTGTAAGTTGTATGGTCTTTAGTCTTGGTGGTCGCGAATCTGAACAAGCTAAAGGTCTAAATCAAAGAGTTCTTTGGTGGTCATTGTTGCAGCGATGCTGGGATTGACTTTGGTGGAGTCCGGTGGCGTCTCGACATGGTGGCTTATGCTGGATCTGAGCTGTTGATGCTTTTTAGCTTGGGATGTCTTGGAGAAGAAAAAGGCACAGTATCCAGAGTGGACTTTATGGTGGTCTTGATACATGATATGATACCCGTCCAATATATTATTTAGCTTGCTAACCGTCTAATAGTTTAATTATCTTGCTAAAATGTGACTTAGTCTTAGACTTTAGGATACATGATATGATAACCGTCCAATATATTACTTAGCTTGCTAACCGTCCAATATGATAACCGGCTAATCTATTTAGTTTTTGTATCTGATGTATTATAACCTGATAATCCAATAATTTATTGTATATGTTGTGACTTTACCGGCTAATTTTTAAGTTTTTGTATGTATTGTGTCATAACCGAGTCAATGGTGAAAGAAGGCTTGAAACTCCGATTCACCGAGGAGAGGAGAGAAATACATCAAAAAGCCACCGGATCTGGACGTTTTCCGTCTAGTTGAGCAGGATCCGAGAGGGGGATGATTTTAGAAATGGAGAGTAATTTTGAAGAAGAATCTCCCAATCAGACGATTTCAAATTTCAAATTGCAAATCTATTAACCTAGATTTCCTCTCTGACATCAGATATGAAGGATATCCATATCTTACGAAATCTTTAACCATAGGGGCACCAGTGTCTTTTAACCACTGTAAACAGTGTGAAATAGTTTCTTCGGGTATTCTCTTAATTTCTCACTTACTGAAGTGTATGGAGTGCAATTTCACTAATAAAATCCCACCTTATTCCTTTTCTCTTATACACTCTGTATAAACATTTCCATTCACTATATAATCGTCATTAGTAGTGTTAATCTTCCTCCAAGAAAACAATCTTGTAAGTAAGGATTACATTTTGAGAATAATGGGAGGTTTAGGTTCACCATGTGGAGCTTGCAAGTTATTGCGTAGGAAATGTGTAGAAGGTTGTGTATTTGCACCGTACTTTTGCTACGAAGAAGGGTCTTCTAATTTTGCAGCAATTCACAAAGTGTTTGGAGCTAGCAACTTCTTCAAGCTCATTTCTCATCTCCCTGATCATGACCGATGCGATGCCGTAAGAACCATCTCTTATGAGGCGCAGTCTCGTCTCCATGATCCTATTTACGGCTGCGTCTCCCAAATCTTCTCCCTCCAAATCTTCTCCCTCCAGCAACAGGATTTTTGACTTATTGTCTGGTTATGATTCACTTAATTATGAAGAATAAATGAGTTTTATTTCATACTAAAACAGATTTAATTTTGAAAATATCTAGTGTGGTGACAAGTTCTTTGACTTGCTTTGTGTATAAGGTTGTTACTCTACAAGCACAAGTAGTTTTTCTTAGAGAAGAAGCTTCTAGAAAGCTCGGATTGTACTGAACAAGGGAAGTTTCTAGCTCAAGATACAGCCCAGGATCTTCACAGTTGGTTTCACCAAGTAGTCTCGGACTCCAACCTTAACCAGATCAGTGATATTACATCAAGGTCCATGGATCGCAGTGAGTCACTTTGCAGCTCAAATGAATCTCTTTACTACCAGGAAGTCATGTTTCCATGGCCTTTTTTGCTGATAATAGTAAAAATTAAAAAAAAAAAAAACAGTCAAAACTTGTTGATAAAGATGTAGTTGTAAAATAAAACTGTCAGATAATTACACAAATTAATATGGTAAGTGAGCGTGTGGATTTAAGCTGATAAAGAAAATCTCTATCAGATTTATTTAACTAGACAAAATCTTCTGAGATTTACTTAATTATATTTTCTTATTGAAGATAAATTAAAACTAATCAAAGAAAATACAAAGATAAATACACAGAGTTAAAAAATAAAAAAGAGAGGAAAAAGAAGTAACTTCAAACAACTGTCAGATTAATCTTCAGACAAAATCCTTTTTTCTTAAGGTGTCGCGTGCAAAGCTATATATAGAGAGTCCTACTCAAAAACCCTTTCTAATCATTAATCATTAGTATCTTCTTATTGCTGTTTACATAACTCGAGAGAGAGAGATTCATCGCCATCTTTACAGAGGAAGATGGATAACAAACGTGCCGAGAAGGGAGAGAAGAGATGTTTTGATCTTTTTTCGACGTTGATTCAAGCTTTTGGTAATGACGAAATAAGAGCGAGACGTGGAAAAGAAGAACAAGAGAGAAACATGCTCATGATCCATACTATTACTACTGCATTTACCAACACTAATTACCATCACAAACGAAATATCGATGATGATGAGTCCAAGCATCAAGAAAACGCTTCTTCTTCTTCTTCGAGGAGTCTGGTCGAGTCCAAGAGGCGTCGTGTGGTGGAGTCAGAGGACGAACCCATCAGGGCAGAACCTATTAGAGCAATCAAGCCACCGGTTAAGAAAAGAAAGGCACCGGTTAAGAAAAGAAAGGCACCGGTTAAGCAAAAGGAACCGGTTAGAAGAGAGCCTGGAGTGACTCCGGGATGGTTGGTTGAGCTGATGGGGAAAAAGAACGGTGTGGATGCAAAGATGGTGATAGAGAAGGTGATAACAAAGACTGATCTAAAACCAGACCAAGGACGTTTCTTGATACCCTTTAAGCAAATAACAGAGGATGACTTCTTGACCAAGGCAGAGCTGAACATTTTAGAGGAGAGTCGCAGTGGAGATGGTGAGAAAGGAGTTGATCGTCCGAAAGGAGTTGATGTGATCTTGTTGAATAGTAATGATGCTGAGAAGGAACGGAATGCTAACCTTAGGATATGGGATATGTGGACCACTTCCAATCTGGTTTGACAATGTCGTTGAGTAAATGCTTTAACCTGATAAGACCAGGATAATAAACCAATTAATTGCACAAGGAAAGATTATCAAAGCAAACTCTCAAGTGTAGCAAAGAAACAACACTTGATGGGTTAACAAATAAAGATAGTAACAAAACAGAAAGAGAAATGTGATCTCATATAGTATTCATAAAAGAAGATGTAGCTTTTACTCAACTGGTGGTAGCAGAGATTGAGGATGTGAACCAAGAGAAGAACCCAAGCGTTGTTCTTCTGCCAAACCTCTCTGCAGAATACTCCACTAGCTTATTCCACAGTTCTCCTACATTCATTTCTTGCAGACTGATCCCTTCAATCACCTGAAAAAAGCTTATACTATATATATAACATTCTTTCTTAAAGTCTTGAGATAGTCATGTAGTTTCAATGAGTTAGGATTCTAATAACCTGATTGACATTTTGCAATGCTTGGAGTCCAAATGTGTAGTATGACATGAATGCTCTTCCTGACTGAAGAAAGTAAGATTCAGAACGTTTTCACTGTTAGATAGAATGGTGATTTTTGTGTGTTTACAGGAGAAACTGATGAAAGCAAACCTGTGAAATAGCAAGCCATTGAAGCATGATCTTAACTTCTGGATCACCTCCAAACACACCACAACCCCAATTCCCTGTAGCTACACCAATCTTCTTACCTTCATGATCATCCATACACCATCTCTCCGAGCACTCTACAACGTGGCTCACAGAAGCTGAATATGTAATAGGATCCTCTTGATGCTTACATTGATGTAAGTACCCAGTAAAAGCCTTGTTAACCTCCCGAAGGAGGCCATCAGGTTTGTACTGTTTCCTTCCTGGCCTAGGCATGGCATCTATAGCCACAACTCTCCTTTTACGCCTCATGTAACTATCTAACTTCTTACTGTCTGTGTAATCACCGGCAAATTCAAAGGAAGATCCAAACCTGAACCATGTGTTGATGGATTTCTTAAAAAAGGAATAACAATAAACTTAACATCTTTAGTTCACTGGTAAGTAATAACTACCCTGTGTATAGTGTAAATCTTTCAGCACCAACAATCTCAATAGCTTCATTTTCATCCATACGAGGCAAGAACAACATGCCAGCTATGAGTTCTGGATTCATCATGAACCTTATTTCTTCCTACGTAGAAAAGGCAGTTTCAGTTAAGATTATATCATCATATTGAGAAAAATGTGATATAAGGTAGTAACAACTTGAGACCTGTAGACATCCATGACGAAGAGTAAGACCTCCAAAATATTCATCAGCAAACTCTACCTCAAGAGCTTCACCGGGTTGGTCTTCTATACCTCCAGTGGTGTGAACCTACTCTCCAGTAAAGACAAGAGTCAAGAGAATGGAAGTAAAGAAGACTTAGAATGTTTCAAAAATTACCTCAACGGAACAAAGTGGAGTGATGGATTTAGCCCAGTAATCAGCTTCAGGGCAAGAGACATAGTGAGGATTGTGTTCTAGTGGAAGAACTTTCCTCTCAAATGAAACAAAGCCTTTGGGGATACATTGACATATCCTTTCAAAATAATGGACAATGCATCTTATCTTGCTCTCTTGTTTCATGCACTGACGTGTAAAAAGAAACCTGTAAACACACACACACACACAAGAAGGGTTTTGTAACTTTGGGAAGTGTAGTTGTTACTTGTGAGGATAAGAATGGATCCAACATACGAAAACAGTTCGTCAAAGTTGATTCCTTGAAGATGCTTTAAGCGTCTGTCAACTTCAGGGAACAAACAGAACAAGGAACATGCTAGAAGAGCTGCAATCAACTCCTACATAAAACCAAAAAAAATAATACTAAGGGATGAAAAACGATCATCTTCAAGAATAGCACATGACTACCTGGCTAAGAAACACAATCCCAGCTTCTTGTGGGCCTAATAGGCGAAGCCCGGAGGTAACTCCATCAAGAACATAGTCTGCCTTGTGATAGTGCATTTCTAAGAGTGAAGGCAGCTTGATAAGTAATCCACACAATGCAGGAACCACCTCACCAAAAAACTTAGCTGACTCTTGTCTAGATATTTTCTACATCACAATTCAGAACAAAACATTTGCTTACATTTAGATTTATTATCATGTTAGGAGACGCAATGAAGCAAGAATTGTTACCTCGTCAAAGAAAAGAGCATATCCTTGTGACGCATAAGGTGCGAGATCAGATGCATTCAAGGAGAAGGATTTTCGCATACTCGTGATACGCAAGGCAAGAGCCTCTCCAGAGTTAACCATTGACTCACTCGGCCCCGTAGACATTGTTTGAAGCTCTTTTTTAAGGGAAGGTGGCCAAACTAGAGATGAAGACTGAACCACAAGAGGCAGATACTCAAGAAGTGATCTAAGATCTTCCCTCTTCTCCATCCTTATTGCCTTTCAAGTTGTTTCCTGAAATCAATCTAACAAGGAGGAGTATGATATTTTTTTTTAAATTACTTAGTTCGTTGACTTGCTTGAAGAACACGAAACTCATTTTATTTCTTTATTACCAGAGAGTCAAACAAGAACACGTTGTCCTCACAGACTTAGTCCATTTGGAGAAACTCTCATACAAGAGTGAGACTGCGTGTAGTCTAGTCTGTACACTGTGTTTATAAACGTCTCCCAGTTTTCCTGAACAAAAACCACATAAAATATTTGGTTGGATGCACCGGTTTATTCCGGTTTGAAAAATATGGTATTGACAATAGAACTCTGTAGATAAAAGTCAAGACTTTGCAAATCTCCATTCTACTCTGAAATCTTTAGAGAGTTCAAGAACGAGTTAACTCGTCAGATTCAACGTAAGTTCTTCTCTCGTCCCTTACTATGTGGTAGTAAAAGTTCATCTTTTGATTTCTAAGTTTCATGACTTGATGTAGATTGTTGGTGGTGATGGCTGGGGTTATGCAGAAGTTCCTTGTTTCATCAATGTTCATGTGGATGCTTCCTGTTGCGATACTATACGGATTCAACAATGACTTGCTTCCTGGTAAGGAGGAAGGGACGATTAGTAATGCATCCGGGTTGACTTTTTTTTTATTGTTGATTGTACCTGTCGTGTTTAGGACCAGTTGTTCTCATAGTTAGGACCACATGTTTAGGAAGCTTGTAGTGTTTTGTAATTACATCCATCCATGATTCTGCCTTTGAGTTCTTACTAAAATAAGATAAAATATATAAAAAAAAAAAAGTGTTTAGAACTTGGAGATCTTGAGCTGAAGTCTTGTAAGAAATCATCAGGCTAGACAAATAACACTGGTTTGGGTTATGAGAATGGTGACTAAAGGATTCATGTACACTACCTGTTCTCTTATTTGATAGATTTTGTGTATATCATTTGGTGTTTGCATTATGATTTATGAGTTTTTTCTCTGGATTTGTCTTTGACTAAATGACTGAGTTTTTAGTAGAACAGTTTATTAAGAAGTTGATGTGTGTTACGAACACCTTGTAGAAGCAAGATCTAGAGAAACAAGGTATTATTCCCCACAAAAGATCAAAGCAAATACAAAGGGTTGAGAGAAAAATAATGGCTCGTTGTAGGAGGTTTTACACTTGCACCTTTATGAAATTGAGAACCACTATCTGAAGAAGTTAGGAAGGATGTTTATTAGTTTCTTTTATGGGGAACATATGCCTGGAACTCTTCCTTGTTTTTCCTTAGACAAGTACCTTTAGTTTCTGCAAACGCTCTTTTTAGTAAATCTCGATTCATGAGATAGCTGTTTTTTGGGGGATCTGATGGCAGGACTAGAGTATTTTGATTGTAACTTAGATTTAAGGTAAGTCGTCGGAGTTGAAAAACATGAATTTGAAATTGCGACAACAGGCTACTATGGTTGTATTATTGATTCTTTTAACTAAAGTCATTTTAGTCTTTGATGCTTAGTTCAAGTAATGAAGTTTGATTATCTATGATTGCCTTTTAGTCGGTTATTGTGTTTTTGGCATAATGACACTCTCTCTTTCTCTCTCACATAGCTGTCTGTTGTAGCTTTAGATTTGTTGTATATGTTACAGAAACCATTTAAATTGCAGCCATATGTGTCTCTGAGCTTTTACCACCTCTTAAACTGACTACTCTGTTTAAAATCTTTGTCAGGTTCAACAACACTGTCTTCACATTCTCTAACACTACTAAGTGGATTTCTTGCTGTGGTATCAGTCAATGTAATGATTGTGTTCTACATCTGTATGGCCCTAAAAGAACCTACAGATAAACACAAACCAGACGCATTGTTTGTCGCAGAGGCCAAAGATAGTGTGGAGAAATTGACCTCAGGAGTCCCAAGTACTGACTCGGTAGTCAAGAAACAAGAGTAAGAGCTTCACAAATTCCATTTTTTAAAGACAAGGAACAGCGCCGAGATAGCATCAGATGAGTTGGGTTTTTGCAATGCATTGCTATAGTTGTAGAAATTCTTGCCTAGTGGCCCATCCTCTGTTGTGACATTTGAGGGTTTTGGGGTTGTTTGAGCAACAGAAGCAACATGTTGAACAGAGAAGAGAGCTAATGTTTTTGATGACAGAACTCACAGAACCAAATGTTCATAGTTGCTGCTTCTCCATTGCAAGGAAGCTTACTTGTTTGAGTTTTAAGTTACTTCAACTAGATAATTACTGACTGAAATAGAAACTACTTAATTCTTGTTCCCGTCCGAGGACTACAGTATAATGTGCTGTTCTTTAGATGCTCCATGGGTCTCAAAACAAGCACATGGATAGAATTGGCTGGCTATTGATGAATCCTGAAAGCTGGAAGTCATTATAGGCTTCAGCATCATTTAATTGATTAATAAACAAGGGTAACGAAATTTTATGTTTGACTTGGGATATAATGAGTCGACAAAAGAATTGGGATATAATGAATCAAACAAACTTTTGAATGATAATAGTTTTCACTTTATGAAAGAATGGTCGTACAACCTGATAAATATCCTTGTTGATCTCTGAGAGAGATCACAAATTTCAATATAGCTTTCCCCAACACATCCCAAAAGAGACAAAAGAAACAAAATCCAATACCCTCCCCCACAACAATAAATCTCCTTTTATGAATGCAACCAATCCAGAACAAGTGACACAGGCACAACACACAGAAAAACATGCAAGAAGAGATAGTTTACACCTTTTCTTCATCATTCATCGTCAATCAACGTCACCAAAACATTCAAACCTTCTGACCGCAACCACACGGTTTCACAAGGCTCTGGCAAAAATGATGTTTCTAAAATCCACAAAAAGATGCTTCTATGTTTGTATAACCTAGAAGCAGACGGCAATGCTGAATATATGTGTGAATGAGAACCTCACCAAAATGTTTTTTGTGCCTTATCAGACACTACTATGACTTTTTAATCATCCATGCGTTTGAGCATCATATAGCAGGAACAGGAGTGGCAGCCAAAGCCTTCTTTTGCTTCTCCTTCTCGATCTCCACTCTTCTCACCTCTGCGTGCTGTGCTATTCCATTTGCGATCGCCTGATAAGTGAAGTCCAGTGACTGATTAAGGTTCTGAAACCTCTGCGCATCTGATGCCTGCATAACTGTTTAATGGACAATGATGCGATTATGCGCGAGATGTATAGTATTGTGTGCTCGCGATTGGTGGACAGAAATGTACCTCTAATTGCGTCGACAAAGAATACAAAGGCGTCCACTTCATCGATGGGTGACTGGAACTCATCGTCGTCATCGCTAAAGTCATCATCAGAATCATCTTCATCGTCATCATCATATCCGTAGGACTTCGCCTATGAAATGAACAAGCGAATTGGCAAAGAGTCAATTCTAGTGAAAACAAAAAAAAACATCTTTAGCAGAGGGAATTTGATACAAGCACTTTGACATACCAGTGCAGCTAACTTCTTCAGTCTACTGCTTTCTGCTTCATCTCCGTCCTCCGTATCATCCATCCCCATCTCCCCATCAGACCCATCCTCATCCTCATCATCACTCTCGAGTCCATTCATCTCATTCTCATAATCTACTTCTGCCTCCTTTGCTGCTTCTGCGAGAAATATGGGAAAGGGGATAATTGTAAGCGTCACCACGTCAAGTAGAGAGAAAACGCATCAATTGCACAACATACCAGCTAGCTGATCCTTATATGCAACCAGAAGATCAAGTGTTGCCCTGAAAACACGCTGAAGCGCTTCGTCGGGGAATTGCCCACCCGGGAGTGCAAGTAATGAAGTCAAGCCCAAGCAGCAAATCTTTTTATCGTGTTCCCTAGTATAAAAAAGAAAGACCCACAATTACACTTATAAGCTCCCATGAACAAGGTAAGCCATCAAAATATACCATCAAAGATACCTTTTAAAATTTTTTGCCAGGCCACCCTTTTTCTTTTGTTGCAACATCTGGAACCAAAGATCAAACACTGTTGAAGCAAGCCCCGTGTTATGCAATACACCAAGCGTTAAACCTGGGTTGTAGTAAAGCATATTTGCTACCTGCGAACACAAAGGAAACAAAAAAGGTTTAGTAGATATAATGGTGGCTCCCTTGCAACGAGAGTTCAGCCCCTCGTCGCAACCATCAACACAAGAATGGAACCAAACCAATACAAGCCGGCCTAATTCATATAGTGACACTGAAAGAACATGTCACCAATAATTAGAAAAAAAAATAAACTGTATGTTGGAATCACAGCAGGTCAACAAATTATCCACACAGTTCTTACCACTTGTATAAGAAGACACTTTAAGTAGGAAGATTCCGCTCGTTGTAACCGATCAACTGTAAGTCGCAGATATGGTTCAACCCACTGATCCACCTGTCCTTTGCAATTCTGGAAAACAACTTCAATGAGCTTTGGAGCAGATTCAACATCACTATCTTCTATGTTTCGGTCGGTCATAAGCTGTAGAAACAAAAACGTGAGATACAATTAGCTATGAAGCTCAACTGGTACTGCTATGTAGACTGATGAGTGTATTGCTTGAGTGGAGGAGCTTGAGAGATGCTTAGTGTATTCTCCAGAAATAATTGTCAAATGTAATGCGGAATGTATATGTTATTTAGTGTTGTACCAGAAAGCATGAGTAATTCGCAATTTATGTTATACGATAAAGGATGATTTTTTCCTTATTATAAGTACAAATCCCAGAACCTTTTAGTTTAGAAGAAGCAACAAGCAGACCATATAATTGCACTATAACTATCAGAAGATATACTTACAGTTGAAAGAACATTGTATAGACTTTGCTGGTAGTCGGGCTCCTTGCAAGTGAGGAAATGAGCAGTTCCCCTTGATATAAAGTTGTCCATTGGAACCAAAATATCTAAATTTTCAAAGAATAACTTAGTGAATATAATTTTTAAGAAAAAATTGACTTGGAGGTTTTACAGTAACAGCGTGAACAAAAACAGATATGGGAGAAGCCATACTTGGAAAGAAATCAATTGCCCAATCGACCAATGCTTCCACCAATAATGGCCAGAGACTCCATATGTCCAACGATATGTTAGGTGAATAAAAGGTCATGTATGATGCAATCTCCAGAACTTCTTCAAATACATCTACCAAAGTAAATAGGATGAGAATTCATTAGTATCAATATTAAAACAGTCGGAAAAAGAAAGTGAGTGATCTTGAGAGATCTAATGCCACTACACAAAAAAGAACGGACACGTAAATGTTCTATCTAAAAATGCATACAAATGGAATCAATCGAAATGGCCAACAAACAAATCCAAAAGTACATCATCTGGACACGATGTAACTTATTTATGCTCGGAGTCTACAAACTAAGGACCAGAGAGAGATGGAAAAAAAAATAGAAGTAATTTTGTAGTTCAATTTACCGTGGCCATCAGTGGTCAACATTTTCTGCATTATTGGAAGTATCGTTGGTTCTATCTCAACAAACAGCTGAGGAAGACTGCTAACAGATTCAAGGATTGTACTTATGGCACGCAAACAACCAACTGCAGCTAAAGCTCCCATATCATCCGTATCATCACTGGCTTCTGACGTGCTTAAGCACCTCCAAAATGCAGCCGCCTGCGAAAACGGAAAGGCAGAAATATACATCTTAACGTCCAGATATTTAAGAAAACTAGATATATAAGAGACCTTATTTTCTTACCAGATTTTGGCATAATCCAAAAGCATAAGGAGCCATCTCCTCACCGAACTTATCGACAATGGTCTCCAACGTAAAAACAAGGTCTTCATTCTCTACCTCATTCATGAGTTTGAAAAATTCTAATAGGAGCAAGATCACCATTAGTTTATTTCAACGATACTGGCTATCTATTTTTTTATAAACAAGAGTTACCTACCATCAAGTAACTGAGGGAGGATTGGACGTATCTCATTCAAATCTGCAAGTTTGACCAGACCGTTTTAATTAGACACAGTATATCTATGTATATATATATATATATATATATATATTTATAAACCACACGCAATCAAGAAAATGGTAAACAATTGCAAACTGATTCATCCATACAAATGCGTCGGAGAAAGTCACATACCCTTGCACGCCTCAACAAATGAACGTAATGCAAAAACTGAATCTACACGGACAGGGAGATCAGGATCGCGCATTCCCGAAACAACACTGTGCAGTGCTTTACGAAAGTTGTTTTGGTCGGCGAAGTTGATATGGGCATATTGTCCGGCTACCCATGCGGCCTACGTCCAAAACTTTAATCGTTAAACAGATCAAGGGGATCCCAAAGAGTATTCTATCTAATACTGAACATAACACAGGAAGTCCATCCTAAAATATTGACAACTTTGCAGCAGTCGCCCAATTATTGCAAAAATTTATCCTTTTCCCTTCAATTTTTAAGCAATCATACATAGGTCTCGAATAAATTACAACAAATCCTATTATGGCAACCATGGATTGCTGAAGTAATGACACAGTTCAAAGCCAAAAACAATGAATACCTTTGCTCTAAGATGTCCAGCTGGGCTACTGAATTCAGGAAAAATATTTTGCACTAACATACGCTCTAGTTCAGATTTATAGGGCTCCGTTTTTTTCAGTTTATCACAAAGAGCTCCAACAGCAAGCATAGCACCATCTTTTTGACGATAGGGCTTATGTTCGGCAGGAGCTTCGTCATAACTATAAACAGTGTGAAAAAAAGTTCACTACAAGACACATATGAAAGAAGAAGATCCAAGCAGAATAGCTCCAATGGAATACCTCCTGAAGATTCCTACAACAAACTGAACAAACTTTGGGAGGTTCTCTTTCCCACGTTTTTGAACCAATTCATTTACAAAATCCATAGACGCTGTTCGCGGACTGTACAAGTCTTCAATGATATCTGTAATGCAGCACAACAGATATCACTAAATGATATGTTTAAGACTTTTCAAGAAATTCACTATCTTTAATACTTACTGTAACCTTTCCGCACATATTCATGTGGGTCTTCCTCCCAAAGTTGTTGATCAGAGTCATTAAAGCACATCAGAGGGAAAACAATCTCAAAAAGCAGAACATCCAGGCGAGGCCGCAGTAAACTGTACATGCTATTCTTCGAAATACTGCAGGTAGAATGAATTAGTGTCAAGGATAAAGACTCCCTTCAACGAGAAATGGCACATATGTCAAAAATATAGTAGTTTTTTTTCTTGTGTTGTAGAAAAGATGACAAAAATACATCTTAATAAATGATAAAAGGTAGAATAGTGTAAACTACCCAAAAAATCATATCTAGAGTTTTCTAATTAAAATCAACAACGTTAAAATGGTTGACCACACAACAAATCTACAATGCC